CCCAAAAAAAAAGAAGAAAACCCACACACACACAGAAAAGAAAAAACAAAAAACAAATGATAACTGGTGTTCTGAAAATTAAGAAAGAAACAACAATATAATACACCCAAGCTATAGATCAGGAGAACGTTTTTAGCACTGAAAACGATTTTTGAAAAGAAAAAAAACAAACCCATCTAATTCCTTGGTTTCTACCTAACACATTGTACTACGCTTTTACGCGCTTTTGACAGTGTCATCTCAGTTTGGTCTTGTATAAGAAGAGACAAGTCTCGCCTTTCATAGTTGGTGATTTTAAAAAAAATTTTAGACCTCATTTCATTACCTTAGAATTACCAAATTCTCTCTGATGTTTTTGGCCTTTTCGAGTTATGAAGACCATGAGGTAAGAAACCAATTGTTCTCTATTCTCTATCAAATTCGAAAGATAAATCGGCGATCGGAGTTGTTATCAAGACATTCACAAAGAATTGCGTTTGAAAAAGCTTGACATGCTGTGAAACTCCTCACTTTTTTTTTACGCCAAGATTTCTCAAAACTAGTTACTGAGCAGATAGAACTTTATAATTCTAAGGTAGCGATTTGAACTGTTACTAATAATAATGTAAATGTACAAGGAAGTGCTCCCTGGGTTGTAAAGTATAAGAAGAACAGAGCTGTCTCGCCATCCAAGCGTGATGATGACAGCCCAGCAGACCTTTACTGCCTCACCTAAAGTGTCACCAACGTTTCCTTTAAGTGGAAGATTCACACTGTGCAGGTCAGCAACGACAAAACGATCTTATTTTAATATGAAGAATATATTCAGGAAGGAGAACAAATTGTCACTTGGGCTCCTCCTTTCAAATTTTCAGTCAGCTCAAGAAAGACTGGGATTTCGTTTAAACTATGTCGTGTCGTTCATAAGTGTCCATTACTTTTCACTTTTGAAATGGCGTAGGGGATTTATTTATGTCCTCGAAAGACTGAGATGTCAGTTCCTCTTAAACTCACTCTCGTTTTGGACTTTAATTTGAAAAGTAAAGGACTCCAATCCATTTTCCTTTGTAGACATAAGGTCGTGAAAAATTAGGGTTGGCGTTTGAAAGGTTTGCTAGAAATATAGAATTCCCGTGGCTTTAGATAGTTAATACCCTCAAAACCTGACCACGAAGACTCCCCCACCCCCTCCTGTTT